GGACTTCAAGAAACATCTTGTTGTTTTTTCTTAGCCAGTCTCTTGATCTAATTCATCCTATCTTTCTACCAGCCGGATAATATGGCTCGGCGATCTGAATTACCGGATAGCACTGTCTTACCGATCTGCTAAAGCCCTCGTTGAGATGCAGAACTGGAGAGCTTTGCTAGAAAACGACCAGGTAAGTTTGTGGATATACTTAGATCCTAACGGTCTGAAGAAGGCGCAAGAAGTTCTCATCCGGCAAAATATTTTCTTGTGCAGTTAAGGATTGAGCAGAAACGAGGCCACGTGTTCAAAGGATGGAACGAAGGAAAGATCTATTTCCCACCAACGTACAAGTACTCGAGGAACTCAGATAGATATTCTGGAGACGATTTGCATCCCAAGGAGAAACGTCGCACTCCTGCTTGGTAAGTTCTACTATATAACAGCAAGAAAACAAGAACTTCGTTTACGATACGAATCTATGATCTGACATTGGTTCTCTTTGATGAAGGTGCGATAGAATACTGTGGTACGGTGAAGGACTGCATCAGTTATCGTATGTAAGAGGAGAGTCACGGTTCTCGGATCATAGACCGGTCTATGGCATTTTCTGTGCAGAGGTTGAGTCAGCTCATAATAGGTTAAAGCGAACCACGAGTTACTCCGCTTCACGGGTCCAAGCTGAAGAGCTTTTACCTTATTCACGTGGATACACCGAGCTCAGCTTCTTCTAGAAACACTCAAATGTTTCATTTTTTGCAAATCTCTTCACGGTAACTTTTCTTTCACTTCTCTTTTCTTTTTGCAACTGATCAAAATCCCTGAAGCTTTTAGATTAAATGTCACCAAACCACATCATACAGGGACATAAATAGATTAAAAAAAATGTCACTGTGTCAGTGACATGAGCTGTTCGAAACTAAAGAAGTCCACCACAAGTATCTGTGGTCCTGAGATGCAAATAGAGGAAGTCTATATAGAGAGTGGAGACCAATCTATATAATTTTCTGCATTTATGTGGAAAGTTATGTGTAATCTCAACCAAGAAATGAGCCACCGCCATCTCTGAGATCATTTAAGAACAACCAATTGATTTTGATTTCTCCGGACCCAAAAAAAAGGGACCCAATTGATTTTGCATCCGTGTTAGGATAAGGAACCCAACATTGAAAGCTTGATAAGGTTGTCGTCCTCTGCATATTATCAAGTCTTTGTCTTTATAATTCAACGAAAATTTTAAAACTTTCTTGAAACCAGGATTTATTTTGTGTGTGATCTTGAGGAGATTATGAATTTCTTTCACTCATGGTAGAATTTGGCTTTTGTCAGGTGAATAAAAGTGTTTTTGGATCTTTGAGAGTGATGGAGACATTCCATTGCCTCTTTAACTTAAAAGGGAACAAGGTTGGTCAAATTTTTATTTTTATTATGTTTTTTTTCTTACAATCTCCGTTTCCGGTTCGCCTTTTAATTTATCGTACCGTGTCATCTCCGGTTTGCAGGTGTAGAAACTAGAAAGTGTATAATTTTGGCCTCGGTTAACCAATTTTCACATACCGGCGGTTCTGTGGTCTATCCGGTCATTGCTAACTCCGGTGGATTTGAATTTTTACAGCAACGTTCTAAGGTAATAATTTCAGTTGATAATCATTGAATTTTATTTTTGCTTCGAGATTAATTACCATTTTTTCAGTAATTTCGTAATGTAAACACTTTTATTTTTGCGTATTGCTTGGTGCAGGCAATCAACTAACCCAATCAGAAACTGCCAAGTAGACAGATGGAAGTTCTTTTGATTTTTTAAAATTTTCATTCTTTTGGTTAAGCACAATTAGGGGAAATATAGTTTTCTTTTCTTTCTTATCAAGTGTAATGTGTGGTCCCCCAAGAATCATATTGTAATGTTTTAATTATATAAGGTTTACGTCAAGTGTAATGAAAAGTATTACCCACAAAAAAAGATTTCTAGTAGTATTTTATTTTATGAATATTGCCGAAAAGGAAAAGTGAACCGATGCCGTCTTGTAATGATCGTTGGACTGAAAAAAAGTTTGGGTTTCTAGATAACCTCGAACCTCTCGATCTAATGATCAATCTTACATTTAAATACAAGTACATAGCCAAAATCGATAGCAATTTACAATAGAGGCTAAGCCAGTTAAATTTGTTTTATGTAAGAAAAATATCGTAATCAAATTCAAACTAAAAAAAATCAACGTACTAAAAACCTAATTGTTCTCGTTAACGGGGACTATATCAAAATTTAAATCAAATACTAAGATTTGGTTGAGGGGAAATTCAGATGACATGTTGTTTTCACTAAATTCAAAGATTTTGTTTTCCAACAAATTCAAAGATTCTTAGGGGTACAAATTTTCGTTAAGAACTTTTTCAAAAACCGAGATTTCGACTGCTGTATATATAACTTTTATAAGAAAAAAAAAAGATACAATATTTGTAAGAGACAGAGACTGGACCAGTTAATGTAGAAGGGAATGATTAAAAACTAAAAAAGAGAGGCTGAAAGTGAAGAGAGTGTTTTGTGTAAATCATGCTTTGTCTTTATCCTGTTTCCTCATGCTTTGTCGTCTTTCAGCTTTTGTTTATCACATTCACAACAACGCTTGTCAATACTTAATTAAACGAAGATTCTTGTAAAATTTGGAGCCATATGATTAATCACACAGGCAATGATCAGTTGTGTTTCTTCCAAGAGAATTACTGTTAAACAAAACATTAGCAATCGAGTAAAAGAAAGGAAAAAAGAGTGTTGTTCAGAAGGGTAGCTATTTATAATAATCTCGTTTATACTACGTGTTTGTTGTTGCTGTTATTTCGATTATAGTTCCAATAAAAACATAAATAATGATAAAATGATAGTATTCCTTTTATTTGATTTTTTTTTTGTTTTTAAATTTGTATTAATCAACAAAATATAAGTAACTAACCAATTCTAGATACAGCTAATACAACAATATACATTTGAATATATATATGTATAATTAATATATACATACAAGTATACAACTAGTATGAATAAATACGATTGATCAGATTTTGTTTACAACATGTCATAACTCTAAATAATCAGGTGGATGGGCAACCAATATAATCATGTATAACGGGTCTGGATTAAGATGAAATTGTTACTTGTGATGTATACGAGTGAATATAAAATAAAATTATGATTTTATTTTTATAAGGGTATTTATTTTTTCTTCGTAAAAGAAAGTCAAAGCTTACTGTTAAAATTAAAATTAAATACGGTTTGTTGTATACAAGAACGTGGATTTGACTGGTATAGGTTTTTGAGAGTGGGAAAGGATAGGCTAGCAGACTAACCAAAAATATCATGCCTCTTATATCATTTTCTACCAATTCCACAAGTTTTTGTTAAACTATTTTATATTCATATTATTCATTGTGTGTTAACTGTTTAGTGATTTTTATCTATTTTTAAAAACTTTTAACAAGAACTACAGCTATTAGCTCTGAAAAGACTCTCAAGGTAGGCAACATATTGTCACTTCACTCAAAAAAAGAAATGAAAATGAAATCTACAATGCTATTTAGATTCCTCTTGTTACCCATCTAGTTAGCAATTTGTACTAATTTCATTCTTTTTTCTGTTTAGGGCTTACCAATGATATTTCATTTGATCAACACATAATTTTGTAGGTAGTTCTTGATTGGCACATCTCTCGTGACCGAATAACCAAAAACATCTAAATCGCCACACAGTGATTGATATGATTCTAAATGACTGTCAGTGTAACAACATCTATGGTCCTTTAGCTCCTCAAGATGTATATATACTGCAAATATCTATAATATAAACATGTATATGTAGCACCATCATGTAAACTTTAAATACTCATAACATAAATTATTTCACCAATAACGAACCTTTCTTAAGACGCTGTGTTTTCAATTATATACTTAAAGGCCTAAAGCCAATCATCTAAATCAGTAGATTTTGTAACTTTGTAATTATATAGGTTACAATAATGATTTCTAGTATTTCGAAGCGGATTAACATGTATGATCACTTTTATTTTATATGTATGAGCCCAATTATTACGTCTCCCAAAATCAATTCGTAGAACATAAGCAATGGCCAGGACAGGAATAACTAAAAAAAACGAGAAAATTACCCAAACTATCACGAACAAAACTAGATCCACATGAAATTTTGTTCTCTTGGATCAACCAGACAAACTTCTTAGTTCATGTAAAGCTATAAGATTAAACGATATTTTATACTTAGGAACCGCTTTAAAGGCTTCTATGGTTTTAAGCTGTAAAAATTTAGTTGGTTTAGCTAGAGGAAGATGTAAAAGTCTGTATATATAACGGCATAACTGAATTACGGTCGTTAATACCGAATAAATAAACAATATGATAAGTAGGGAGAAAACGTTTGTCTTTGGTCATCGAAATATGGGCTTCAGATATAATAATCGGCCCTTCAGAACAACAAAAAAAAAATATATTATAATCGGCCCTTAAGATTTTGATGCTTCGTAAGCCCATAGCATAATGCAAAATAAAATGGCCCAATTTAAAATACACGTGGCGAGACTGATTCCCAAATATAGCAATTCGGCGACTCTTCAGTCTTTCTTCTTCACTCACACTTGTTTCCCTTCGGAGCTTGCGTTGGTCTGGCTTCAGCGCTTCTCCGTTTCTTGGCGTGATCAAAGCAAAGAGCATCAGCCAGATTTAGTACGTATGATCCAACGTTCAAAATTCTCTCAATTTCGTTTCATCTCATGCTCAATTTTTGATTCGGTGTTAGGGTTTTCGGGGTTTTTCACTTTGTACTCAAAATCCCGATATAATCCACTTGGGTTTTCTGATTTTTGAAAGCTTGAAAAACCTTTCAATGTCCGGTTGATTAATTATGTTATAGGAGGAAGTTAGTATCGTGTTGTTGTTGCGATCGCAATAGTAATCAGTCTCGCTAGCATTTGATCGATAAAACTCTTCTCTGTTGTTTTTCTCTCTCGCATATGTTAACTATTTGTATATGTTTCAGATTCTCTTCAGCAATGAGTGTGAGCGGAGACAAGTCTGATGATGAATATTCTGTAATTGCGGACAAGGGAGAGATTGGATTTGTAGATTATCAGAATGATGGATCTGCTGGTTACTACAATCAACTAGAGGAAGGTCCACTTGTTATCTCTGTTCCTTTCCCTTTCAAGAACGAAAAGCCTCAATCGATCACTGTTGGAGAGACCTCTTATGATTCCTTCACTATCAAGAACACTCTCGACGAGGCTGTGGATTTGTGGCCCAAGATCTGGGCATCGAATCCTAAGGATTCTTTCACCCTTTCCATCCTGAAACCGCCGTCGAAAGATTCTGACATAAGAGAGATTCAGGGGTTTTATGAGGCTTTTACTTTGGAAGACAGGATGCTCGAACCTGGTGACACTTTGACCATTTGGGTGTCTTGTAAGCCCAAGGACATCGGTTTGCATAACGCTGTCGTTACTGTTGACTATGAAGGTGAGAGGGTTGAGAGGGTTATCTTCCTTTTGGCTGAGGACAAGATATCGAGTTCTCTGACTTCTAGGCGGCCTTACTCCAGAAGCAAAAGAGCTCCGAAGAAAGATTTTGCTGTGGATAATTACGTGACGGGAGCACGCCCTATAAAGGAGGTGGAACGTAGGTTCAAAAACCGGCTTCCTCGGTATGAAATTCCAAAGGAGATAAGAGAGATGATCGAGAGGAAGGAAGTCCCTGATGAATTGGACCAGGGCCTAACAGCAAAGAACTATGCAAACTACTATAAAACTTTACTTATTATGGAAGAATTGCAACTCGAGGTATTCTCATTGTTTCAAACTTTTTTTGTTACCCCTCTTGTAGTTTGCCATGAATCATGTTTCTTGTAATTTGTTTGGTGGTTTAGGAAGACATGCGAGCTTATGATATGGAGAACGTTTCGATGAGGAGAAGGGGTTTCTATTTGTCCCTCGAAGTTCCTGGCCTTGCTGAAAAAAGACCTTCCCTTGTCCATGGAGACTTCATCTTTGTAAGACATGCCTATGATGATGGAACTGGCCAAGCTTATCAGGTTTTGTTCTTGATTTACCTTTTCATAATTTCACATCACTTTCAACCTCGTGACTGCAAATATGTTTCACTTTTCATCTTCTGGAGGATTAAAAATCGAAAACAATTTTCTCACAGGGCTTTGTACACCGCGTTGAGGCGGATGAAGTGCATTTGAAGTTTGCCCCTGAGTTCCACCAACGCCACACAGCTGGGAGCGTCTATAATGTGAGGTTCACATACAATCGAATCAACACCAGACGGTTGTATCAAGCTGTTGAGGCGGCAGAAAAATTAGATCCCAACTTCCTTTTTCCATCCTTGAACTCCGGGAAAAGGATGATAAAGACAAAACCCATCGTGCCCATCTCACCAGCACTCAATGCGGAGCAGATTTGTTCCATTGAAATGATTCTTGGCTGCAAAGGAGCACCGCCATATGTGATCCATGGACCTCCTGGTACTGGGAAAACCATGACATTGGTGGAGGCGATAGTTCAACTCTACACAACTCAGAGAAATGCTCGGATTCTTGTATGTGCTCCTTCCAATAGTGCAGCTGATCACATTTTAGAGAAGCTCCTTTGTCTGGAGGGAGTTTGCATCAAGGACAGTGAGATTTTCAGGCTGAATGCAGCTACTCGTGCCTATGAAGAAATTAATCCCGAGATTATCCGCTTTTGCTTCTTTGATGAGTTGGTTTTCAAGTGCCCTCCTCTCCGTGCTCTGACTCGTTACAGACTCGTGGTGTCAACGTATATGAGTGCATCCCTTCTTAACGCGGAAGGTGTGAACCGTGGTCACTTCACTCATATATTCCTAGATGAGGCTGGTCAAGCTTCAGAGCCAGAAAACATGATTGCTATATCGAATCTCTGCTTGTCAGACACTGTGGTTGTGCTTGCTGGAGATCCAAGGCAGTTGGGTCCGGTTATATACTCAAGGGATGCTGATTCACTCGGCTTGGGGAAATCATACTTGGAAAGATTGTTTGAGTGTGATTATTACTGCGAAGGTGATGAGAATTATGTGACAAAGCTAGTCAAGAACTACAGATGCCACCCAGAAATTCTTGATCTCCCGTCAAAGCTATTCTATGGTGGAGAGTTGGTAGCTTCCAAAGAGGACACAGACTCTGTTCTTTCCTCGTTAAACTTCCTCCCAAACAAAGATTTCCCAATAGTTTTCTATGGGATCCAAGGATGCGATGAGAGGGAGGGTAACAATCCGTCATGGTTCAACCGTATAGAGATCAGCAAAGTTATAGAGACAATCAAGAGATTAACAGCGAATGACTGTGTGCTAGAAGAGGATATCGGAGTTATAACTCCTTACAGGCAGCAAGTAATGAAGATCAAGGAGGTTCTTGATAGATTAGAGATGACTGGGGTCAAAGTCGGTAGTGTGGAGCAATTCCAAGGGCAAGAGAAACAGGTGATCATCATCTCAACGGTAAGATCTACAATCAAACATAAGGACTTTGATAAAGCCTATTGTCTGGGCTTCTTGAGCAATCCGAGAAGGTTCAATGTCGCAATCACCCGTGCAATCTCTCTGCTAGTGATCATCGGAAACCCACATATCATATGCCAGGTACTGTACTTGCTTGCTTTTTCTGGACAAAAACATAATGCATTGTCTTAAGTCCCAATCTCTCAGCTAATATAGAACTGTCTGAACAGGACATGAATTGGAGCAAGCTTCTGTGGAGATGTGTTGATAACAGTGCTTACCAAGGGTGCGATTTACCAGCGCGGGAAGAGTTTGTGGAGGAACCATACAATCAAGAAGAAGCTTGTCGTGAATACTCTGTAGAAGAAGCGTGGATCAATAGTGCCGAGGTCAAGAATGGCGGCACAAAGGAGAAAGATGAGTGGTCTGATGGATGGAACGACAATGGTGGAGCGTTTGTGGAAGAACCATACAATCAAGAAGAAAGCAACAATGCTCGTGAATACTCTGTGGAAGAAGCGTGGATCAACAGTGCTGAGGTGAAGAATGACGACATAAAGGAGAAATATGAATGGTCTGATGGATGGAACGACAATGGTGGTGGGACTAAGGAAAAAGATGAATGGTCTGATGGGTGGAATAACAATGGTGGTGGCACCAAGGAAAAAGATGAATGGTCTGATGGTTGGAACAACAATGGTGGTGGGACTAAGGAAAAAGAAGAATCTTCTGATGGTTGGAACAACAATGGCGGGACAGAAGAATGTTCTGATGGTTGGAAAAATGGCGGCGGTGGTAAAGAGATTAAGGATGATGGTGAATCTGAAACCAGAGGTGATTTTGTAGCCAAGGAGGAAGACGAGTGGTCTGATGGGTGGAAGTAAATTGAAAAAAAAAGAGAGTAGATTATGGGAAAAATTATATTGGTGGAAGAACAAAGTCTATTTTGGATTTGTTCACAGGTTCTTTGTCTATCTTTTGAACCTTCGGTTTTCAAAGCTTTTCGCAGAGGCTCAATTTATATGCAGTTGCAAATAATTTGGTGTGAATCAAGTTGTGGGAACTTTTTTATTAATAGGACACACGAACAACAAATAATAATACACATAAAATTACCCGAAAATCAGGTAAACAACAAAGTAAATAAAATCTTACGATAATGTAATTGGGGTTTAATTAGAATAATCTGATCATCTCAAAGGCTAATAAAGCAAATAGAAGAAGCAAAGGCTTGAGAGAGTGCGAAGAGGAAGGCAACGAGGCTGAAGGAGTTGACGCCGTCGGGTCTCCTCCGATGCCCGATCCCGGAAAATCCTGGTCTGCTTAATGTCAATAAACTCGAATATATTAGTAACTAATTATGACAAAAAAAATGCTTAGAACGAAAATTCGAAGTCTTTATGAAAAATTGTGCTTTACCGTTAGGAGTTATCGAACTTGTTGGAGAAGTGGTCGGACCGAAAGAAGCAGGGCCTGCGAGTTACGTATATTAATGAATAATGGGCTTATGTTAACCCAAAAAATACATTAAAAAGGTATTTGGGCCGATCCGGGAACAACCCGGTCTAGGTAATGTCAATAAAGTATATAGTATATCAAATTACAAGAAAAATGTTTAGTTAACTAAAACTTTCGATTAAATTATTTACTTTACCTTCAGGAGTTTGCGTATCTGTAGGAGAAGCAGTCGGGCCGAGAGACGCAGGGCCTGTGAGTCATAGATTAATGAGCTTTTGTTAATAAAAAAAAATATCAACAGATTCAAAATAAAAATTCAATAGAATTATCCGAAACAATATACCTGGAGCAGGAAGAGGTGCTGCAGAAGCTGCGGAATTTCACAAATGTTTACGTTAAAAATTTTTATAAATTTCTTAAAAATTATCGATTGCAATTAGATAACCTTTGCATGTAATAAGGGGACTCGATATTTTTACTACAAAAATTGAAATTAGATACCTTTGCATTTAACGGGGACACCAGGCATGCCACATGCACGAGGGAGAGAGATGGCTAGAGTTCGGTTTATTGGAAGATTGAGTGGCACACCTGCGGTTACAATCAGGCACAAACAGTCCACACCGGTTCCGGTTAACGACTTAAGGGCCTCACAACAATCTGAAGTCGGAGAATTACCACTTCCCGTTAGAAAATTCATGCACCCTGTAACGCTAGAGAGCATGGTTGGTGAACATGGCGTATTGATTTGAGCAACAATCAATATTGGAGAACTCGAAAGCAGAGAGAAGATTAGAGCTAAGATTAGGATACATTTGGGATCCATTTTTGTGTTTTAAGGATTTAGAAAAACTTAAAATCTATTTTTTTCCAAGTAAATAAATAAAATGTTGTTTTGTGGAAAATGAAATGGTTATAATGTTATGGTTGTGTTGTGTGTATGATGATATATATATAGCGGAGAGAAAGAGTCATAATGTAGTTTGTAGAAGCTGGTTTTGATTTTGACTTTTTTTGATGCTCAACTACCTTAACTAACTTTTACCAGAGAAGGCAATATTTTATTTTTGTTGACTAAAGGTTTTGTGAAAGCTTGTTGTTTAGTTTGCGTCTTTATTATTATTTTATAATTGAGTTTTAGGTTTGCTTCTGTAACCAAACAAAGTACATGTACCATAATTATCTAACAAAAATGAAAAAGAAATCATACGTGCTGGTAACAAAAGAAAAGAAAAGAACAAAAAAAACAACTACGTATACGATATGATGAATTGGTGATTTGGTTAATATATTGATTATGGCAACAAAATGATAGTTAAGAATAAACATTTAAAATTATGAATTCACTTGTAAAACTATGGAAACCTCATGGTCACTCACTCTACTAGTTGTTTAGTTGATGGGTTTGACTTTGACCCATTTTCTCCGCGTTTAGAAGGGGTTTTTATGTGGTAAAAAGAACAAGTTAATAACAATATGTGAAAGCCAAAAGGTCAAAAACTCGTGTCTATAAGGAAGCATTTCAAAATAGTCTCAGAAAATGATTAGACTGTAACGTGATTGCATTAACGAGATGGCGTGTCACTTTTATAGTGTGTTGTTAAATGTCACCAGAATCTGGTTTCTATATTATTTGCCGAAGAAAGTAATATCGGAGGAACTTTAGTAATACTACTTGTTGAACTAAACACAATACTTCTAATAATGGGATGTAGATGATGCCACGTCTTTGAGTATTTGGGTTGGTCGGTTTTTCCAAAGTAACTTAGAACTTTTATTTTATTTTCAAGTTGCTACAAAAAAGATTCACAAAGTTGGGCTACTTACTTAGGATAAAACGATGAGATATATTATATATATCTTCTTAAAGTAAGATTTCGTAATTGCTTTTTTTCTAAGTATATAAATGTCTTCTATTATATTTTCACTTTGGTTATATCAACATTAATGTTATGATGCCAGTAACTGGATCATTGAGAATAGTTAGACACGAGGTTTGCAAAAGTTACTCAGAATTTCGATGGATTCACACTTATTAAAAACAAATTTGACATATGATCAATTATTAACCATAAGGAATAAGGGTATTCTAGTCATTTAAATGAAACAAAACTGCCCGAAATCAGAGGACCGTTGGCACTTTGACATTTAAATTTCAAATTGAAAGGAAAAATAAATAAGAAAAACAAGAAAAAAAAACAAAGGCAACGAAAATCAGATAAACAAGAGAAGCCATGAAAGGAAAGATTTCAGTCTCGTCGTCGGAGAAATCAATGGCATCATCATCATCGAGCACCACGACGGCTACTACTGTGTCTACGGATGATTCAGAGAGAAGAGACAGTAATTGCTACTTCCCAGACTGTAGCAAAGACGCGAATTGTAGCTGCGAGATCTGTCTCCAAAGCCTCAACGCAACGCTCGATCTCATGCCTCCCAGCGTTCAGAAAAGCTCCCTCTCGAAGCTCTCTTACGCCTCCAATTTCAAATCCACCGTAGAATCCACTCCGACTTCGTTTGACCCGGCCGTCGTCACCACGCCCGCTTCGGTTGCTCGCCCAATCTCCAGGGTGATCCCTCCGCCGAAGAAGAAATCAAAAGTTTCCGAGGCCGAAAAACCGAGGAAGGAGTCCAAGAGCGAGAGAAGGCCACTGGTTCGCGCTGTTCTGAAAGTGGTTTTGGGAATTGCTCTGGTTCTGTGTTTGGAATTAGGGTTTGGTTGGGTGCTTAAAGGGATTTTAAAACCCGAATTTACAGAGGCCATAGTTAGGAGCGCTGGTGAGGGATCTCAGTCTGCTCGTGATCTGGGTGCGAAGCTGAGAATCACGGAAGATGAATTAAAGGGTTTTGCTAATAATGGAAAGTTTTCGAGCTGCAGAGGTTCTGATTCCAAATGGAAAATCGATCAGGTAAGAACTCATTAGCTTACAATTTTAGTCCCAAAAGTTTCCAAATTTATGTGACTGATTTTGAAAATTACCTTCTCAAGGATGGTCCATTGTTGAACTCAAAGTGTGTGGTGTACAAGTCCGCAATTGAAGAGGTGAGTATATGGGGATGGCCTTTGCAGACTGCCGGTTTGTTCCGTACCGGATTCTCCTCAAGTTCAATCACCGTATTATCAGGCCGAGTAACTGAGGTAACCAAATAAAAATGCTTCAACGGATTCAAATGTCAATGCTTGTTTCTATAGTATTGTCTATGGCATAGGAAATGTATAGCAAAGAGACAGGCTTATCCAGATAATTTGAATATGGTTGAGTTGTTCTCTTTGGTTTTGTCAAAAACGTGTTGATGTGTGATACTCATGTGTTCTTAATCTTCTCCTTGAAGTGGTCAGAAGGGAAGTTCGGTTACTCGATTCGTGAGGCCAACACTTCGTGGGGGAAATCCAAATGGAGCACCTCGGTTCTGCAACTAGATCCCAATACCTGGATTCTTGAGTACAGCCAAAGCTCGGTGACAGAGAGTTGGAGCTTGTTGTCACTAATAATCGATCTCCTGACACACATGATGTACCAGGCAGCAAAGAATGTGAAACGGGAGCTTTTCTGTGTGGTTTCAGCCTCAGGGAATCTGTATAGTGAAGCAGTATCAAAGGCTACTAGCACAATGACACCAACTTAGAGATACTACTTATGATGAAAAAAAAGAAAAGTAATCGCTTTTTTGCCATCTTGTAATCTTTTAACTATAGTCAATGAGCCATGAACAACAAGTGCTTTTGTGACTGTTGTTACTGTGTAGTTGTAGAAAGGGGTAGGCATTCTGATCTTATGTTAGTACTTATTTCATGTCATTTCTACTCAAAAAGAATGCTGAATGTACTTGGAAAAGACTACTACTACAAGTTTCAAGTTCGGTTTTGGTTCGATTAAACCAAATCGGTTTCAATTTTTTGGATTTACAAATTTCGGTTTGAACATTTTAGTTTGGCTCAATATGGACCTTCAATTCTGTTTTCTCTAATGTGAAACAATATATTCAACCGATATAAACCGGCTTAATTGGAAACAATCGTATAAAACCGAAATTGACTGATTCGTACCGGTTTTGCCGTGATCGGCTCGCTGGACTGAGCGTGCTTCGTCTTGTAATGAGCGAGGGAGAGAGAGAGACTTATTATGAGTTTTGATCAGTAGAGAGAGAATCGCTTTTCGATTCGTTTCCGGGAATTGATTCTTGAGGAGCGACGATGGCTTTGGCCGCTTTGAATGATCTCTATCGTGTACTAGCGACAAAACCCGATCAGGTACTGACTGTCTTTTTTTTTTTCTCTCTTCCATTTAAACCCTAGATAATCCCGAAAATTAACGGAGGAGATTCCCCCATTTCTTTTTTATCTATACAGGTTTGATAAGTAGATTTGTATGAACTGTTTGAGAATTGGTAGATGCTATTGGTTTTGTTCGATTTGGTCCCTTTGTTAGCATTCCGACTGTGTGATTCTCCGAAATGAATTGTTAAAATTTGGGTAAAAAAGTAAATCTTTGCTCGCTGCTATAGGAGAAGATCACTCCTCAAGAGTCTAACGTCATTGTCTCGTGCCATCTCAAAGTTTTGTGGACTGCTGGGTTCGCGTCTGGTGTAGGAGCAGGTTTAGGCTGGCAAGGTTCGTTCGTACAAAACAAAATGAGAAAAAAAACTTTTGTAAGAGTTTTTTAGCTTTCTGATTTAATGCTTCTCTGGTGGTGTCTTTCAGTGGCGAAAAGATTGAAGAAGCTGAAGCTTTCTCTTACAGCTGGTAAGTATCTGGAAACAATAATGGTTTCTCAATTCTCACTTCCTTCTTCGACTTTGGTTTACATGCTTCATCCTCTATTCAAACTCCACGCGCAGGAGCGGCTATCGCGGCTTTCTCTGTTGGTTGGGATTGGGGTTGCTCTACAACTGCTGTTTCATGCCTTGATCATATCCTTAGGCAAGATGCAACACGAATGCAGAGAGAGCTAGTGAATGTGTAAGCATCCATCCGCTCATGCTTCTCGAAACTTATGGTGTTATTGAGTTGCTTCTTTTAGCTTTAAACCAGATTCTGACCTTTGCGCATGATGCTTTGTCTATAGCTTAGTCAGGTCTAATAGAGGTGAAGCTTGGAGGTGGCAACTTATGTCCAAGCATTTCTACCCTGAAGCTGTTTACAGTGATGAAGGAGACAAACCTCAAATGCGCTGGCGCAGACGAAGCACTTTCACTGAGATTGCCCCTTCTTATGATTATGTGAATGAAGCCAAACCTCAGGCAACCTACAATGGCTTACCAAACCCTCATAGTCGAAGCACTTCACATGGATCTGATACTTCAAAGGCTAAACCAATGCCCCAAAACAGCTCTGTGAGTACCTATCGTATCTTAGTTGTTGATTCTAAAACCTCTGGAAATGCGTAGCATCAGTTTGGACAAGGAACCGGTTTTCCAATAGTATAAATGAAACCTTGGTTTCAGGGAAATTCGGATGGCGAAATGGTGGAAGAAGAAGATGCTCTTGACAGTATATTTGGTGGTTCAGAACCAACAGAGAGCATTCCTGCACCAGTTAGTTTGAAAGCTTCAGCCAAAACGCAAACTCGCAAACAGAAGAGAGCTCTACGAAAACAAAGAAGGCTTAAAAAACGTGAAGCTTCCTCGAATTCTCCTCAGTACGAACTTGCGTAGACGAGACAAAACAAGGATGCTTGTTTACTTGATTATTACATTGAAATTGCCTGGATTTCTGTAACCTCAGTGAGCTTATGCATTAATCCCATTTTGTGGATCTGTAAGAAAATGGTTATTGAAGCTTTTAAGATCTTTATGGTACCTTCTATCAAATGTAAGCCTGATGATGGTCGGACAAAATTGGGATACACTAAGAAGAATTCAAAGGAACTTAGCACAAATGTAATTAACGAATGTACAATTGTAATTGTTGCTGTGCTTACTGAAACTTTACTCCTCGATTCTTAGATGAAAGTACTCTTCAAGAACTCCTCTAGGTGTCCTCCCAAATCCTTTAGCTACTTCTTCCATATCCTTAAGCTTTGTGACTTCTCTTCTAATCTGATCCAATCTCTTCAACACGTTCGTCATCAAGCTATCTTCGTCTGTACCTGATACACGCCTCGATAGCTCTGACTTCTCCTTCTCAAGTTGCCTATACAGATCACTGAGACATTCTTTCTGAGCACGAAGTTTGGCTTCTGCAATTTGATACTCAGATTCTTGAGCATCTCTCAACGCTTTGAGAACCTCGCGGATTTCTTCCTCGTGTTTGTGCATCTCAGCCTCGTGATTGAATGGCATGGGCCCGATCGGTGTCACGTCTTGTAGACTTTGCAATGTATCGTTTTCTTTAGCTTCTCCACTGTCCGAAAAATCTATAGCCAAAACGAAGATAACATGTTATAATGAAAACATGTTAATCATCTTCAACACATAATCACAGAGCAAAGGATCGTGATGACGGATATTACCTGACCATATAGTTGGTGTATCATCATTCCAAAGATTTTCCAAGCTCATGCCGCATTTAAGCTGCACAAGATTAGGCTTTTTAGTTTCAGGAATATCCATCCAGTACATTTTTTTTACACAATATATAGTACCTACCTTGATGACCGTTGATTCGATACAGTTGAGCAGTTCCTTAGCATCGTCTCTTTGTGAGCCTCGCAGGATACAAATACCGAGATTCAGGATCTTCTCCACGTCACCATGATATTGTACAGTCTGGCATATTTCTAGGAACCTGTTAACATGTGGAACCAAGTCCTTTTTGGCGTCACATCGCCTGCAGTAGTATTCAGCATCCAACCCAATGCTGCCTCCAATGGTTCCAGCCATGTAAGCTCGAAGGGCACAGCTCATATGAGCAACATGTCCACATATATGACCTTCGGAGACCACGGCTTCGCATTTGACATAGCTATAACGTTCATGCTCCAAGCTCACTGATTTGCAGCAAAGGATGCAACAGCAATCAGAGCAGAAATTAGGTTCACCACAGCAAATGCCACAAGGCATTGCGGGTAAAGGTTCGGTTTCACTCGGTGGCATCAGGCTCCCGCATTTGTCATTACCAGCCTTACAAACCACAATATCAGAACCGCTCTCATGCATTGGGTCTTCATCAGAGCTATACACTGGCACTATGCTCTGCGTCTGAACCATGCCTATCAAACAGAAAAAAAATCACAATGTTTTTTAGAAACAGATACTTGTTCAGAACGTTGAAAAGTAATCCATATTTGTTGGAATCGTAGAGCATATATAAAACATAGGTGTAGAGTTGATTGAAGCTGACCATATGCGCTGGGTATGACCCAGCTGAAAGAAGCAAAGAACTTGCGAACATCTGCTTGAGGGAAGGCTTGACGAACGTAGCGCTCAAGTGAGAGCCTGCTCCTAAAAGCGCTACTTCCCCGCAAGATCTCAGGAGTTAAACCCGGGAGATGCTTAGGAGGATATAAGTACCTATCCAAAAAGGTGCCTTTAGCGGTAACTCTCGGTCCTGCCTTCCAACGCCAAGTATCTCCAGGGTTAGGCCAGTCTTCAGGAGCATAAGGCAAACCTACACCAGATTCCAGTGGCTTTACTGGCCTCAGCACAAGGCGAAGCGGTACATCTCTCTTACTCTGATCAGGAGTATCAATGTCCATGGAGTCCATGATACAGCAGGACCTGCACACAGTCCAACAAAATACCATTGAAAACTTCAATAAGAACATCATGCAACAGAAAGAGGAGATTCATTCACAATTGCACACTGATCAAGTTGTTCAATAAGGCATTTAAAAGCCACAATTAAACCATTGATATAGTTCAGATCACATACAGCTTGGGATTATGAATTTTGCATTCTACCTCCATTAAAATCATAGACATAGACACTCTCAAGTTTCATATAAGCTCAATAGTGTATTTCTTCGAGTTAAAAATGGTGAAAATGCAATGCTTGAAGTATCGTCTAGGAACCTAAACATTTATTTTATTTTTTAAATAACAAAATCAGAGTTTCGATTTCTCAGTGATGAAGAAACTGCATATCAGCCGCATGGAATCAATTAATTCCGACGAGGAACTTGATGAAAAGGAAGAGATGGAGAGAAAAGCGAACGTACAATATCCAGAGACTTAGACACCGATCAATTCCCAAAGATCTCAACGAAAGTTAAATCATTCTTCATCATAAAAACAAGAGATTAATGCGACAATGGAGGAAGCTAAGGCCGTCGTCACAGTCGAAGGAGCGGCATTTGGATGAGCACGATGGCAAAGAGAAATAGCTGCAAAAACGTTGATCCTCGGAGGAAGCCAAATAAGTATAGGTTTTGATGAGAGAGCTAAGAACCAAAAATTGGATCCAAATTCATAATTCCAATATTTGGGCCGCTCTTGGACCTGTCTCTTTATTGGAGAGTTTGTTTCCGTTACCAATTGTCCGGTCTGAGTCTTTCCGGTATGGTTAACCCCGATCATTTTCAATTAAAAATTAAGAATTGGACCCAAACCAGCTTGCTTCACAGGGATTGGTGGGTCCATCACAAAAATTGTTTATATTGCAACGAGGGTTTGAAAACGGACTGTGTCTTATGACAAGAGCAACAGTAATATGGAGTTATATGGAGAGTCGTCTGATGTTCACACTCGACAAGTTTCACAAGTTCAAGAGTCATGTGATGTGAATCTTGATATGTCTCCCATTAATAGAGCTTTTTGTCGATTAACTTGTTACATGTCCCTACAATAGCAACAATACCAAGTGACAGAGATTGAAAGAGAGATAGATACCCCCAACGAAAACAACCACCCATTCGCTATTTTTATGAGATTCCCCTTGTGATAAATTCCAATAAAACTATATGGTGTACTCGAAATAATACAAAAATAGAAATTGATCCCAAAGTACCTTCCAAGGATTATGACAACTTGTGGGGCTAAAAGTTGTTGTACGCTCTATCTGACACCCTTGATACCATTTTTTTATTACAAATTATTTTAAGACTCCCTATCAAAAAAAAAATTATTATTATTATGAGAGCATAAAAAGGCCTTTAGTATTACTAACAATGTCTGTATAAATATTTCTTGGGTATGTTGGAATGTCACTCACCAGTCCCCACTTTTGGCGATAGATGGAGATTGATCAGAACTAAGTATCATTGTCGATTCTTTCTTGAGAGATTGATTTGGTGACAAATCACCAAGTACTCTATTTAACTTGACGAAACCTTAGGTCTACAATTTGATTCTTCGTTATATAAGAAGCACATGGTAGATTTTGTATGTAACCTTAAAAAATTTCGATCATAAATTTCGGTATAGTGATTTATTTGAAGATAGACTTTCGGAACCGTTCTTGGCAAATAGCATATTAATCTGAAACTTTATCGGACATTATATCATTCAGTGGAAAACAAGATTTAACGGTCCAAAAGAAAAAAATGAAAGAACATAGATTAGTTGAGATGAGAAATGAGAAGTGAGGTAAGTCAGTGTACTTTGCACAAACATCGATCTCTCGTCTTTGAGTCGTGAGATGGCCACTTTACGTAGTCCAAGACTTTGCCTCCTCGTGAGTTCTTGCTGTATTTGCAAGGCCAATGATTCTTCTTGTTTTTGCAATGTTTATACGGTATATATACTAATTCCTTGATTGTAGTTTTTCTTTTTCGATAAAATTATTTTATTGGGTTCTTAAATATTAAATGAAAAAAATTACATCCACTATTTTTTGGCCTTATATTCAGAAAAGGTGGAAATTCAAAATATATACTTTTTGTATTTCCACATTATTGAACTTCATTATATACTTTTTTCAAAATATATTAGTATAGGACTATGTTTTATCCGTTTCCGCAAATGATAGTACTAATCCACACAAAAAGTTTATAGATTATTGAAAATTGTTAACTCGATCAGAAAACCTTAAAAATTGGATTATAGTAATTTTTTCAACAAAAAAATAAGTGCAATATTTTTGTCAAAATGATTACTAATCCATTTATACGAGATTTAAGTTCATCTTCTAAGTTTCATAAAATTTTGTAAATTTGTAGCATAATAAAAGAGTAAAGATAATTTGGTCTTTACCGTTTACAGCAAAGCTGTTAACAAAGATATCATTTACCGCAGAGCACGATGCATGGTGTAAAGTGTAAACATAACATAATATAAAAATGAATACACACATGGCGTGGTAAATAATATATAAAGACATGTACATGAAACATACTATCAAACAAATTAAGCCACCTAGCAAATCCACTTGCTCAATACATAATATCTCAGTCTCTCTCTCTCTAAAAAACACGATGCCAAGAATCATGTGGAAAAGCTTCCATCTTTGCTTCCCATCAAATCTCACCAATCCCTCCTCAACTCCCGCCGACGCTGCCGCCTCCGACGATCCCAACCGTCCATCAATTCTTCTCATCAACAACTTCAACCTCCTCTACGACGATTCCGCAGCCGCCGGCCGCCGCATATCCAAGCGTCTCATCGACGTCGAACCTTCCTCCACCACATTCACCGCCTCCACCTCCACCGCCGCTAATTCTTTTTGCTCCTCCGCTTCCTACGATGAAACCGATAATTACGGTTTTGGCCCTGACGACTCTCCCCCTCCGGACTTAACGGCCGTTCTTGCCTCCCGTCGCTTCTTCTTCTCTTCTCCTGGCCGGTCCAACTCAATTACCGACTCGCCGGATCTCCGCCCCGGCGATAATTACCAAACTGCCACTGCCAGGACAACTAATACTACTAGGCTTCTCGCTGGAGGAACCGCCGTGAAACAATACGTGCAATCTCCTGATCCTTACAACGATTTTCGGCGATCAATGCAGGAGATGCTTGACGCCGTTACAAACGCCGGAGATCTTCGTCGTTACGAGTTCTTGCACGAGCTGTTACTAAGTTATCTCTCACTGAATGCCGCAGATACACATAAGTTCATTATCAGAGCTTTCGCCGACATTCTCGTGTCTCTCTTATCGGACGGTCACCGGACAAGATGACGTGGCATTCATATGCTCATTAATGTTGTGTTAAAAATAACTCATGTTGTGTTTTTGGGATTAACGCTTTAGGACAAAAAAAAAATGTTTAATGTAATTATTGTGTAATGATACGAGAAAATCGAGAGAAGCGTGGGATTTTGTCTCGATCGCATGCAGTTACATTACTTTTATAGAGTATTGCTTTGTTTTTACCTTCTTAAATAAAAGATGAATCGGGGACTCATATAAAATGTGATGATTATTTATCATTTTTCGAAGTTGCATTTCCTTGAATACACATTGCAAAATACATGACGTACTGTGTAATCTCGCCCGAATGGTAAAATTCATGAACAAAAATTACCAGTTTTTTTAAAAAATTGTAGTTGGTAAAAGCGGAATATATTGTGATAACATTTCTACTTCTACAGTTTTGCGGACTACAACATTAGGTACATAATTGGCTAGCTGATTGGTATGGTATATGATATTGTTTCAAAAGTTTTGTCGTCTGGAGAGACTACCAAAAAAACGTCCCGTTATAGTGCCATGACAAACAAAGAAAGTTACGTCGACTGACAAATGACACTATTTCTTCTTCTTTTTTCGTAACGTATCCAACTATAAAATCTAAAAAATATGTAGATTGACTTTCTTCCGTTTTTCTTGCTGTTCTCACGTTACATTCACAACGAAACGAATTCTATCGAATCTAAATTTTGTATAGGATAAGTTTTACATCGAATAATTTATTTATTTTTATTCAGGATATTTTATATATGTATAGTTATTTTTGTCAGGATATTTTTATAGCTAGACGAACCACATACAGTAGTAGCATTGTTCAAACCACAATTTCGACCAACATGATGTAAAATGGAGCAGCTTTTTTTTTTTTTTTTTGATTAAAAAGTGGAGCAGCTATTGGTTATACATTAAACTCTCTTTGTTTAACATTAAAGCCTAGAAAATATGGTAAATTGGTAATGAACAAAACTCGGAGTTGAAAACAAAATAACTTGGTCAGACGTAGTCAAGGAGTATATATTTTAAAAATATGATTTTCTTTTGAATAACGAAACTTATGAAACAATCGAGGCAAATTATATACGCTTCTAAAAAGCTTTATATGAATAGGAAAACTTGAACTTGGTTTGATCAATGTTGGACAATTTTGAGTAGTTAGCATAGTGAAACACCAAAGTTTAAAGCATCGAGTCTCTCTTGTCACATACCCTAATATTAAATCAAGGCGTGGATAAATAGTTATTTAATCAAAAGAGTAATTCAATCATTTATTCACAATAAACTGAGTAGAATTTAAATGGCGTAAATAATATAAAATGCTGACAAAGAAAAAGATATATATACCCGTGTATTAACATCAACTTCATAAATCTTAAATCACATTCAATTTATTGTTAAGATCCGAAAGGAACAAAACTCATGAAGGAAGCACATCAAAACATTGCCTAGTATAGGGAAGGGTGATGGTCTGATGGACTATATAATATAGTAATCATAGGTATTCAATTCCAACTAATATTGAGATCTGTTGTTTGTGATTCTTCCAATGAGATTTTACCCATATCACAAGGCGAGACAAAAACAAAATAGGAGAATCACAAGAGGCGAATGTTGGCTAAGCCGTATAGTCACAAAACTAGTAAACTATGAAAATTCAATTGACCTACCCAAATTACTCAAAGTACATAAGTCTTAAAAAATTATGTACTTTCTAATAGCTTAGAATTCAACTCAGAATCAAAAATTGCCTCAAGGCTCTCAAGTCTCAGTTGAGTTTTTTTTTACCGTATTTACTCATACACACATTACAACTTTGATAATAGAGCCAGTTGAAAGAGTTTGATGAATAACGTTAAATGACCATGGTTTATTAATTTGCAAAATCAGATGGTAGTTGCGTCGATATTATGATTTTTTTATTACTTGTAGTTTCTTTAAAATAGTGCGTTGCGTGAGATTTTAAAATACAGCATGCTATTTGACATTTTGACCCGATCGGTTAGGTTTAGTTTGATTGAAGAATTCTTTGGAATCGTTCAGAAATTAAATGTGGTTTAATAGGAAAATGTTATGAAACTGTAACACATTTTGTGTTGTTTCGTTAGATTTGTCGCTACATATATATAATCTAGATCATAGGCACATATCTGTACAAAAGTATAAATATGTAAATTTTGGAAGACTGTAAGAAGCACTAACATTATATATATATATATATATATATATATATATTAACTAAACGAATATCTAATCTCATACTTTTGTAAGTTGGTATAAAGTAGCGCCTGTTTTTCTGCCGCTTGTCTCCAATTCTCTTATACACATATAGAGTATATATTTTGTGTATGTGTGTATATATCATATATGGACATGTGTGTGTATGTGCACATGTGTTTGAGAGAGATAAGTCCAGAGATACAGTCGAGTGATGTTAAACTAATTAAAAAAGTACACATGGTTGATTAAAACATGTGATACAGCAAATACGTTACGAAGGCAAAAAGAGTTTTGCCATAAAACCTTAACTAACCAATCTATAACTTTTGACAGTTGTTCTAAAATACGAAACTGCGTCTCCAATCAAGTTCACTAGTACCTAGTTAATATGGCTACCCTTATTAAAATTTAGTCAAAAAATAAAATGTCAGAATGATTTTACTTGAACTGGATTCAGAATTTTTACTTGAAAAAAGCAACAACGTGGTTAATAACTTAAATATAATAATATCATCCAATCTTTTGTATAATCAAAATTATGAATCTAATATTTGACATAGTGACTATTTACAATATTAATAGTTTTGTAACTAAGAAAATTCAAAAAGCTGGAATAGCTCAGTTGGTTAGAGCGTGTGGCTGTTAACCACAAGGTCGGAGGTTCGACCCCTCCTTCTAGCGTTTTTTATTTTCTTATCATCTTCCCGAAAAGGGCATATTCGTCATTTAGGCAAACAACACGAATCATCCATTTTCATTTCTCTCCTACCTCCGGTAAATCCCTCGCCGTCAAGGTGACCATAAAGGAAATTGAGCTTGTTGTTGTTATCAGACTGGAAAACCACTCATGGGTTTCCTTGTAGCCGCCATTAATTTTTCTCCTACCTTGATGTGTCAACAATTGAAACCGAAGCATGGATGTTGTAAAAGTATCATTCTTTTTCTCATGCTTTTTTTTTTTTAATTCCATGAAGTGAAGTATATCGTGTGTTCAGATTGACGGAATCTCCGTTTCTATGACGTTGAATCAAATTTAGTCTCCTCAATGAATCAATTTGATAAGAGAATGGATTGGTTTCAAGTTTTTTATAAGACTACGAAGTTTGGTTGATTTGTGTGCGGCTCTCTCTCTGTCTTTTAAATGTTTGAAATTTTCAATTAAACAGACGAAAAGCTTCAAGAGAGATCTCAGGGCTGTGTTCAGTGCCAATCATCTTTGTTAGCTCGTCGTGGATTCTTGAACTGCATTGGTGCTTCGTTCATGGCCACACTCGATTTTTCTGGATTAGAAGCTCATGCGGAGGAGAAGGATGAGGGAGAAGGAGTTGTTGGTGCCTTGAAGTCTCTGTTTGATCCCAATGAGAGAACGAAATCAGGCAAAGAGCTACCAAAAGCTTACTTGAAATCTGCAAGAGAGGTTGTGAGAACGATGAGGGAGTCACTGAAAGAAAACCCTAAAGACAATGCAAAGTTCAGGAGAAGTGCTGACGCTGCCAAGGAATCGATTCGTGATTATTTGAGCAACTGGAGAGGACAGAAGAGTGTAGCTGAAGAAGTAGATTGCTTATTATTTTGTTCATCTTTCTTTTTTTCTTTTCTTTTCTTTTGTGAGAGTTGATGGAGCGAATTTGATATGTTTCAGGAATCCTATGCGGAGCTGGAGAAAGTAATCCGGGCTCTGGCTACATTTTATTCAAAGGCAGGTCCATCTGCACCTCTTCCTGATGAGGTTAAGGCTGAGATTTTGGATGATCTTAATAAGGCTCAAGAGTTTTTGTGACAGCATTCTGATCGGATCTTCTCGAGCTATAGTCTCCAAAATCGATATCCCAAGAGGACACCATTTTGATCCTGCAGCTTAACTTTTTTTTTTTTTTTTTTTTTATGTAACATGTTTGTATCTAATCTCTTATGATGTCTTGATATATAAGAATTCTAAAAACCTGAAAATCAACAAAAGAACTATCAGAATTAATATTTTTTTACTCTTAAGACAAAATTCTAACCACTAACTCTTTTTTAAGGTAAATACTAGTCTTTCTAAATCTTTTCTCAAAAAAAAGTTTAATGGTTAGAATTTTGTTTCTAATTAGCAATTAGATAATAAACTATTAGTTCATCTTAGTGAAAATTCGATTACATGAGCTTTAGACCCTACGTCTGTATCTCATGCAAACATGTTACATGGTTGGTCTTATATGAAAAATAATAAAGAGATAAAGTTTCAACTACAAAATTTTCATTACCAAAACAACTTTTTAAAAATTGTAGATGCATAGAAAATATTTTCTAATTAAAAGTTTTTTTATACATGATAAGTATAAGAAGAATATTGAAAAAGGAAACAAAAGTTGTACAAATATATTAGAATACAATTTTGTATGTTGAAGTGATAGTACATTAGAGGTTCAATCATCAATTATCGTAAACCAAAATACTTGGTGATGGTGGTATGGCGATGTTGTTTGGGTTAGCTCATCATTTAAATGGTAAAAATCTTAAAAATCGAGAAATCTTGAAATCAGATTAGCTATGTTTTCTTTTTAACACTGATTTGCGAAAAAAAATGAATCTTTGATTTCATCAAATGGACTATCACTCAAGTCTTCCTTTTTGTGCCGGCAAAGTAATTGCTAGACAGATGCCAACAATTTTACTATATGTTGCATTTGTCATGGGAGCAAAAATTTTCAAGGCACTTAAGTGAAAGAGGATGTTTGAGGCGGTTGGGATTTGTTTTGGTGTAGTTGCAACCACAAAATCGATTTTGTTAGTGGGAGTGACAAGGCTCACAGATATGTTGGGAGTTGCCTTGTCAGGTTCTTCTTATCGCCAGATTAACTTGGTAGATTCACTTCACCAAGATTTTAACCCTTTAATATGTCGTCAAAAAATCATCCAATTTTAACATTTGATTGTGTTATTTTTTCCGGCTAAGAGAGATTCTTTTATCATTTGAAAGACTTTATCATTTTAACAAGGAGGGCATTTTTATTTTGTTGCACGTAAGGAGAAAGTATAACTAAATACCTGTTATCATGTGGTGGCACATTATACTTTGTAATATCCCAAGTTTATAAAAAAATAGTAAACACCAACGTCAAAGAACAAAACGAGATATGATGATTACATAAGATCTATACGAGTATATGACATTACTTTTTGTGGTACTACTCTGTTGAAATGACTCGATGTTTGGGATCAAAGTAGAGAATGCGCCAGAGAGCTCCCACGAGCTTGATCTAAATGGAAACTTTACCGAACATGTTTTTGCTTCTCGAAATCAGACAACTCGAAGCTCCTCGTGTCTCTTGTCAACCCTTTCAAACTGAGACGAGCGATTGTTTTCAACCTCAAAGTCAGTGGATGCTTGTAGGATTTACTGAGAAACTAGACTCTATATTTAACTTGATCACAAATTATGTGTCAAACTGAGGACTCTCACTCATTCACCTAATCTCGACCTATGATGAATGCAAGCTTGATGGTGATGAGCATCAAATCCACAAGAGGTCTTTCACTGGAATGAACATCTCACAACGATGAAAGAATGGCGTCTTCATTTGTAGAGTTTTGTTCAGTCTTGGCTTCTTGGGAGATAGAGCCCATATCTGATGATCCTTTACCAGAAATAGATGACGAGAGATTGTTTTCAGCCTGAAAATCAGCTGATGCTTGTAGGATTTCCAGGGAAAGCAACCTCGCAACAGCTTCTATGTTCACATCTTGGCATGATGATCCTGTATCTTCACATCGCTTAGCGCCAGGTTTTGATGTGATCTGACAAGAAAAAGAGCTAATGCCACATTCTTCACCAGGAGTATGTCTCTTCAATTCATCAGCACCCGGCTTGGAAGTCGTGTCCATGGCTTGGATTGTTTTCTCTTCTGTCTCTATCTCCGAAGTCATGGCATCCTTATGTACGACAACATCTATAACGTTTTCTTCATGGAGCAGAGGTTTATGTAACATGTCTATCCCAGGAAATACCAGCGTGTTGAGGGATCTCATCTCTTTCCTAACTGAATCATCAAGAGGACTGAATCCAAAGTTACCAGTCCACGCATGCAAGAAGTCTGGAATCGCAGGGATAACCAATTTCTCAACCTTGAGAGAACGCATAGCCTTCATAAACATGACAAACCAACAGTTAACAACTTGAAAGCACATTTCCCACAAACAATGATTATATATATAGTTCAACCAGCTTACCGATTCAATTGCATCAAAAAGGCGTCGACACATTCCTTGACGCCTATATATATGCCTGGTTCCAATAAATGGCATCTCCGCCAATTGCATACCATGGAACCTAAAAAGGATTTTGAACACTTAAAACTCTATGGAACAACAAAACGTATGAAAATATTAAACCAGAGGACTCACGGTTGTAGCAAATAAGTTAAATAAAGAGAAATACTGGGGAAGATTCTGTGATCCCATTGCCTGTTATTAAAAACAGTTGACTGGAACAAGAGACAGTACCTTAGAGATGCCGCAGATATAATTTCATCTCCTCTCTCTAGGATAGCAGTGTAGAAGCCAGTATAATTAATCCGGTTGAAATTGGATCTGCATAGACAGCAAAGAGAAACCAAATTTATAGGCGGTTAGAGTTCCATGCACGTGCATCTCAGAAAAAAGGTTACAAACATATATGGATTCCGAGTTTCGTTGTACTCAAAGATCAAACTATTGTCAAACAGCAAAGTGTCAAACTTGATAAGTTTACGTTTCTGTATATCTACGTCTTGTTGACAAGTTTACGTTTGTTACAGCTGACATGTTAATCTCTCAGCTTCTACTAGATACAGACCTTCCATATATTAAAAAGAGCTGAAGACGCCATACAATTTCGGCATAAGTAATAAAAGACGGATTAAACACCAAACTTACCCACAGTTATAAAGGACATTGCGAATTAGATTAACCCCACTCCTTCTGTCAATTATGGGCAAAAAACATTCATCCATGATAGCCAGCCCGACAGCAAGCTTTGAATTATTTTCAATCCTTTGTGCCGACAATCGAGGGTTTGACTTTGAATCCGTATCCACCCTACGTATAAGAGACCATGAGTAGCCGCCTTCTATTTCGTTTTTGACACCAAGATACTTCTGTAATTTTTCGAAGAGCTGTAAAACAATGAAAGATAAATTTAACGATATGGCTATACAAAGAGGAAATGGACCAAGAAAGACCAAAGACACACATTGACATAGATATTACTGAGCAAAATAGATAAAAAGCTCAAGCAACTCAGCATCTGCCCATCGTATAAATACAGAGCTTGTAACCTCTCTCAGGAAATTGATGATGTGAAAAGGAACAAAATTGCTGAGGAAAGTAAATTAAGACGTCAATATACCTCTAAGCACTTAGGTCCACAAAATGAAGAAGCTGAACCAAGAGACTGAACCTTATGAGCTTCCAACTCACTCATGCATGATTGGTGATCTACAAAATGGATCATAAAACTTAAGTGAGAACGCATGGTTACCAATGAAGGTTCATAAAAATAATATTTAAGCTCAACGGAGGAAACATCTCACATCTTCTCTCACACATCTTGCAGGAAAGTAATGACAAATGACTTTTTTCCTCGCCACCAGAATCCACAGCAGCATCACAAAATTTGCATGTGCAATTTGGACAGTGCCAGTCACCCACAGGAAGCACCTACAACCAAAGCACGATACAAGTACGTGAATACACACAAGAAACCATACAAACACAGAATGTTGAACTCCGAAACCAGAAAATGGAAAGAAATATTAAGAAGGACTAAACAGGTAAGACTTCGCAGTAATTCATACCTCCATACCTAGGCAGGTTTGATGGTATGTTGATGGACAACCGTCACAGCAAATCAAATCTCCACCATCGCCACATATACCACAAGCATCGTCATTTGGATCATCACCATCGGTGTCCACGTTATGAAAACCAAGATTCTCAGCATCTTTTTGCATATTCCACGCTTTGATTTGGCAATGAAGAAGAGAACTGCCAGATTCCAGATAAATGTTTTGGAAAGGCTGACATGACTTGCTCCCAGCATGGATCTCAAACCTGGAAAGCGTGAGGATTTTACTGCAGCAAACACAATGAATTCCCGCTCTTGTAATCCAACCCTCCAGCATCACCTTTGTACATTCATGGTTCATGTATTGCACCTTTTGTCTTAATTGGACAACTCCACATTCAATCAACCAAGAGAGCAATGTCCTTTTGCCAGAGTATGGATTGAAGCCGTTGATCGCTGGATTCTTTTTATCCTCAGAGCTACGCACCTTCAAAGTACATCTTCCAATTTTTTTGCTTTTTCTTCCATGTAGATAATGTGAATCTGATCTAGAGGATGGCCTTGCATCATGATAGTACGGCAACCTTTTACTCTTCGAGTGTAAATCATCCCCATCGCTTCTTCCTCTTTTTTTCGATTTCCCAGACAGCTTTACGAATGAACCCATCCTCTCTTCACGGGTATCGCTGTCCACTCCTCCTTCATCATCTCCATCACTCTCGCTACCACTGGAATCCTTTTTCTGTGTCTTCGACATCTCAGTCCGTGTCTTCTTCACCTTCCTTGCTAAATTGTTCACAATGTCCTCTGATACTGAAGCAACTGCAGCAGCATCCTTCCCAGATCTAGCATCAATTTCTTCGTCCTTCAACTGCTTCCGAAGTGCATCATACGCTTTAATTATTGACCAGTATGCGACTCCTGATGGGTTTACATAAACAGCATCCAGGTAACTCTGGTTCCTTCTAGGCCTATAGTCTATAGTCCATCCTGCATCAGTAAGCATTCCCTTAATGCGCTCGCGTAACCTTTGCTTCTCTGTTCCACCACTACGCCGTCCTCCTCTTTCTTCCCTCACAGCAGGCTTCACCGGTTCAGAAAATAACGATTTAGGCTTGGTATTGACTTCCTTCTTGGAATTCTGGCACTTTGGCTTCCTCCTCTTCGATTTCCTCGACTTGTCGCTATCTTCTGACTCTGAATCAGTGTCAGCATTGTTTGATCTCCTAAGGATTTGCTTTACTACAACATTCTCAAGCTTTCGTGCCTTCCTAGATGAAGGCGGCCTCTCATATATTTCTGCTTCCTGGTGACTGATTGAAGCAGGAAGAGTGCTCGTCTTACTGTTTACCTTCACCTTGAGTACACCGTTTCTCCCTTGCACCCTTATTGGTTCATCAGAATCAGATTCACTACTCAGCTTCTCCTGCGAACCCATACTAGTCGCGCCATTTACGAATGGTTTTTTTCTCCTAACGAATATACCGTCCCTGCCTGATCCAGACCCTTCCCCACTACTATCGACCCTTCTGGGTGCAAAAGAGCTTCTTCCGCTAACACCAACACGGCCGTTATCAAAACGTCTCCTCCTCAAATTTGCGCTATCAAACCCATCGTACTCGTCGAACTCAAAGACATCTAAGTTGCCTGACGCATCGTTGTTCCTCCTCACAAACTCATTTCGATCATGCTTAGCCCTATCCTTCTTCCGAGCAAACTTCTCTTTCGATGCAAGGGTTTTGCGGTCAACGCTCCTAGGTGGAGGTTTCATAAACTCATCACTTGATTCGGAGTCACTGACAATCACTTTGGATCCCCTCTTCTGAAAATTCCGCCTAGTTCCAGTACAGGACACACTCCCGCAAAGCCCATCGCTTTTTTCCTTTAAACTTAAGCAATTCGAAGAGCTCCGAGGAGTCTTCGTAGTAATCCGTGACCGCTCACCCGACGCACCACCCCTTTCCATAATCGATCACTACACAAAATCGAAAGTTGGGACCTTTAGCTCTAACCCCGTTTGTAAATCCGATACCAAATCAATATAAATAACCTAAATCGATACTCGATATACATCAATTAGCACCCTAAATCACCGGATCCGTGGTGAGAATGGAGAAGAATCCCGATCCTATAGGAAAACAAGAGAAACGAAAATATCGTCGAAATATCCTTTAAGAATCGAGCATAACGAGCTTGTGAGCTTCGAGATTCCACTGTCGCCGGTTTGCTCTGCCGCCGACAATGTAACTCCGCCGCTAGCGACAGGAAGGAGATGGGCGCAACGGAGCGGTACAAAAGATTTGGGAAACGAGAAGAAAATTTTTTCTTTTTACATGAGGATATATTTATAGGTATCCACGCTTTTCGAAAATGCACCATATGGTTTTTGATTTGATCAATCAGCTCCCTCTCTACTTAGAAATCGATTTCAATAAATTTCAATGTTTTGGGTTTCGTTCGACTTGTTTGCCTCCGAATATAGGACAAAATATTATAGGTTCATGGGCCTAATAAATATACAATGAAAGCCCAATAGTGTGTATTTATATAGTTACAAAAATAAGCTTTGGGCTTAGTTATACCAATATGTCCAGTGCATAATTCATTTCGTTATGTACAACGACGGTTTCGATGTTACTTCTCTAGTTCTTTGCAAGTCGTTTTCTTTTAAATCATAGACAATGCAAATGGTTGCAACTGAAAATAACAAGTTGAATTGAATGAACAAAAAATAAAATACTTTTATATTATAGTCCGAAAAGTATAATTGGTGTTGATAAACATTGATGTTGTTTTTTTCATCTTCACATAAATTTTGTGGTATTTTTTATTGTCTCTAAAATTAAATGTGACTTAATATGCTTCTTTTAAAGGAGATTTAAGTTTTCAATTTGGTTTTGCTATAACTGAAAGATATTTATATACAACATATAATCTTCACTTTATTACAAATCTCAAATTTAATAATTATATTGCCATAGTAGACAGTATTGGTATGTAATATATAAGTATATAGTGTTAACAAGAAAATATTTCCATAACAAAAATTAAAATGATGTTATTCCATTTTATATTAAGATAGTAATCTGTATATGTTATCCATGTTTTCTGATGGCTAACTAATATTTTTTTTTTAACTTTGTGTTAAACTTTAGTTATATATTATATTCCATATTTTACGTAGTCACATAAACTGTAATCTTAATTTTGTGTTTTTATTATCTACTATGTTTATGTCAAACATGGACACTATATATATTCAAATTAATAAATAAATTACAATGTTTTCTTCTTTTTTAAAAGTACAATACTATACATCATCAAAACTTTAATATATTGAGCATGCGTATGACGCATAACAATTTGGTTATGTATGAATTATTAACAAATTTGAGAAAATATTTGATCTATGTATGTGTATATTCATAATTCATTGTTCGGCATATATTCATAATCAAATTTATGCAAAAAAGTTTAAATGTAACTTGATTTGCGTTGACTACTTTTCCAAACGGACTGGAAGACGGGAGGGACTAGTTATTTTTTTATTAGTATCCTCGTCTATGTATTGGAACGTCATTTAGTCTCTGAAACATTGTTTAATTAGTAAAAAAAGATAAAATTGGTTGACGAATAAAGAGAGAGAGATAAACTTTTCTTTTTATAAAAAGAGAGAGAGATAAACTTGTGAAATGATGTAAGAAAAATCGAATGGTTATGAAATACCACTAACTCAGTGAGATTATCATTGTTTCTTGTCATTGCCCCATTTCAAAATTTGAAATTAGAGAGTAGAACAAAAGGAGAAAATGAAATCGAGTTTTTAGGAGGTTTGGTAACATATGAAAGAAATGTTTTATGACTAAGAGTAAGAAGAATGGAGAGAGACTTGGGGCCATGGGGGGGTCACGTGAGTTGTTGTTGACATATTGCGTCAGAGCAACAAAATTGTAGTATTTCCAAAAGTCGCTAAGTCAATTATTACTGTAATAATAATGTCACCACTGTTTCTTATCTACCCCTCTATTGTCAATTTCTTATCAGAAAATCAGATATCAGGAATATTTGTCGGACTTCGTTACGAAAACATACTCAAAGACATTGATTTTATAAGACGATTTCCAACGTTAATTTTTGATTTATGGGTTCCCTACTTATCACTGGGATTTTTTAGCTAAATTGTTTAACCTTTTGCTGTTGTTTTCTATATTTTGCAAGCTAGATTACAAAATGTCATTAAAAATAATCCTTTTTATTTATCTTAGGTGTTAGATTCACCCTGGTTTTTCATGTTTTTATGTGTTACAATTGTGATTACACCAAATACATACTATATTTAAAGTAATAAGTGTGAATGGGAAAAAGTAAAAAATTAATAAGTTATTTTTCAAGTGTCACTGTATATTTATAATAGTAATTTTTAATGTTTTAAGTTTATTCATTTTTTGAGTTTTATCACTTAATTTTAACATTAGTTTATTATTTTGATATTCCATTATCCTGCTTCCAATTAACAGATCATTCATTGACGAAAAAAATATACTAAAAAACTAACATGTAAATTTATTTGAATTAAAGGTTAACTAAGTTACAATCGTCATTTAAACACATAACCAATCTTAATGTTTACTTAAATACAATGAGTGTGTTATAAATGAACAAGCAAACATAATCATAGTGACTTTCATGCGATTAATAATGAAAAGTTTGAACTTAACTCAAAGTCGTCTCATTATATATTAATAAATCAACTCTTCCCGGGCCATTTATATTTAATAATTCTTTCTTCCAAAAATATAGGTAGATACAAACAGAAGAGACATAAATTTAACAGGATCACTCTTAATTAATAAAGTAAATATGTACTTTTAATTTAACCAAGTGCGTGCTTTATTGTTAGTAGTAGTATTAAACAGGCAGTTTGATAGCGTATATGTGCATACTAATTATCGCAATCAACTATTTGTTCACGGGCTTCTTCTTCTTTTCCTCCAGCTTTTCATTTCTGTACCTCTGTTTTCTTATTAGGTTTTTTCAAAATGAAGTTAGTAGTTTGCAAGACTTTTGATTTCTATTCATTTTTTAATAAAGAAATAGGACATCTGTTTTGAAAGCAGGGTAGAGCATTTGTTATATATAAAATAAAAAAAACTATTTTGATTGTTTAATTAACAAAATTATTTAAATAACACATCTTCCGATAAATGTTGCGGGTGTGACCAATTTGTCACTTGGCTATTTAAGTGTGAGACAATTTTGTTGATTTGGATGATCTCATATGATACTGGTTATCATGAGGGTATAAACATTTTATACTTTCTCTACATATATATACTTCTCCATCATTTTCTTAAACAACGCTTTCAAATTTCAAGTTTGCAACAAAAAATTATACTTTTCAGTAATTAAAAATGAGAAAATAAAAACCTACCATATTTATTCAATTACACATTTTGTTTTTCATTTTTGGTTAAGGGAATTTGAAATGGTATGGATAGAGACGATAAAATCAATGATTGTATGTGAATTATCATGGCCGATATGATAAAAATAAAATAAAAATGAAAACAAGGCCACTACATTCTACTTGAAGGTACACCTTTATTGATACGAATATTTGATTTGTTGCTGTTGGCTGTCAAAGACAGAGCCTTCGAGATGTCGTTTCCACTTCCTACTAATGAACCTTTGTATTCTTATCAAATATCACCAAACTTCAATTTTTTTTAATTTGGACCGTTGTGAGAATTAGAGGATATTTTTGATTATTAGCTCTGTTCACGTACAAATTGTCCATATCGTGAGGTCAAAAAATTCACAAAATAATTCATTAGTTTAACTTCGAATGTCCAATGATCTCTCATTTCCATCTTTCTAAGAAAACCACCAGATTTCAAACTTAGAGTTGGTGGGAAAACTATAGAGATACAAAATGTTATCATATGTTTTCAGTCGACAAATGTTTTCGTTAAATTCCAATTTTATTAGATTTTTAGAAGAAAAAAAAAATTCACTTAAAAATTTAATCCGTTATATCAATAAACATGATCGATGTTTTACTAGTCTTCTTAATACGTGGGAAATATCACAACCCTATACATTCTGGAGCTTTGCACATTTACTTCAGATGAAGGAGTATTACTTATTTTATAAAAAAAGGAGTACTTAATAAACTTCAATTGGTCCGATGTTTGCTACTTTGCTTTTTTGTCGTTGTTTGTTGTTTCATTAGAAGTGTGAAAGTGATGGCATTTAATTTCTCTAAGACCACTTAATAAACTAAAATTAAAAGTCAAGTGAAATGAAAATTGAAATATGCTTATTTACTACACCGGGGACAAAGGGGCTGTGAATTAAATCCGATTCATAGCACGAGAGAACCTGCCCAATCAAGCCTTTTATTGACCATTTCATGTTTCGTCTTTTGAAGTTTGTCATATATACACACACACACGCATGCGTATATCAGTGTATAATAAAGATGTCAAATAGAAAAATATTTGTAGATTTCTTCCCGTTTTTGTTTTTTACATTTTATATGATCTTCGTCTCGACGATGTTATTTTGATGTAAAATGATACTTTAATACGAAATAGCGTGAATATGAAACAAAGTAACATGTTGAAGTAAGATACAATTTTATTCGACGAAATAAACAATTGTTATATGTCCACGAGAAGAAACCGGACTAGTTCGGATTGGATATGTATTGTTATGAAACCCAACAAGAATACGTCTGTTGTTGTCTTGTAGACTTAATGTAAGTAAAGAAGAATATGTTTGTTGTAGTAGACGTTAAAAAGAGAGAGAATATACTGTATATGTTTGTTGTACTAACAATAAGTTTCATAAATTTCAAACGGAAAAAAGAGAGATTGATGTGATCTATATTATTGCTTTTATAAACTATTGAAAGTTCAACGAGTTTTAAGTAAAGTCGAAAATCCTTGTAATAATGCCTGTTCCAACGGGCAAACCCGCAGCTGTTAAAGTCTCTTGACGCCGTTTGACCTCTTTCTCATCATCTATTTTTTTCTCTAATTTGTTTTTTTTCCTTTCTATTTTTTAATACATTTAAGCTTTTTACCAGTTAAAAAAAGAATGTGTTCCTGCTCTTATTGCGATAAAACACGACCCTTTCTTGTTTGCAAATGATATAAGTTTTAACGGTTGCTAGTAATGTGAATTTTATTTGATTCTATTTTCTAACAAAAACCATCAATATATTCTTTTATGTCTTATTCACTTATATTTTCGGTGTTGACAAATTTTGTATTTTTACTAGTTTAAATAATATAGCAATAAAATATTCAAGGCATGACCTTGACCCGGACATATGTGCTTGAGTAGTGTTAACGG